ATATATATATATATATATATATATATATATATGTATATATTTATATACGTATATATATGTATCTATTACTGTTGTTGTTGTTATTATTATCACATGTTTACCAGTTCACACGTTTTGAAAAAGAAAAGAAAAATGAAGTGTAGAGACAGGGCAATCCTAATCCGCCCGATCACATTTCATGTTATAAGCCTACCAAGTGATATACAGGTGATAAAGGTAGTTATTACAGATAACAGTAGTACTAAACAACGTCCTTTTTCTTTCTTTCTTACTTTCTTAGTCTTCTTCTCCCGCCGTTTCCCTATGCTATGATGAGGATGATAATATTGATAACATTAACAGTAACAACAACAACACTAATAATAATTACTAGTATGGTAGTTAGTAATGGTATAATGGTAATTAGTAATAATAATAAAAGAAATAATAATAATAGTAGTTATAGTAATAGTAATACTAATAGAACTACTAATAATAGTAATGATTGTAAAGAATATATAATTATTTATTAATATAATTATGATAATCTAGGTACTACTACTACTATCACTATTACTACTAACAGTATTCATAACAGCTATTGCCATTAATGTTAATGGTAATAATAACAGTCTCAGTAGTAATCGCACAATAATGGTAGTAGTAATGACAGCATTGGAAACTATAGATTAGGGAGTTGTATAATCTATATTAATGTTACGCTTGAATCTTCGAATGTATTGATTAAAAATGAACAAAATTATCTCAGATACAGTGATACACAATAAGTCTTATATTTACTTCGGGGAAAAAAACAAGCGTGATTTAAGAAAAAAAAATAAAGCTTGGTTTTGTAAAAAGTAACGAATCGTATACAAACTAACCGTTTTGAATTAAAAAAAAACAAATCTCTCTGCTAACCGACACGCATATATCCTTACATTTACTGTTTTCTTCGCATCTTAATAGAGTAGAATAATACTCAAATCCTTTCCTTTATTTTACAGAGAGATTAAAAAAAAAAAAAAAAAAAACGAACGTGCCTGTGCTTGTCAAAAACTGCCGTCATGGCCTCGGCTCTGAATGTAATGAGGTTAGCGAGGAAACTGTCGCGTTCAAGGTAAGTCAGATTCAAGATTCTGTTTAATCACGTATTAACAGTCATGTTTACTTTGTTCCTGGTTTGTAAGTGCAAAATGTTTACTTGTCGTTTGAGAGCTCTGGAGGCAGGCTGTCACACAAGAAAAAATAAGACCATTCTCAATAATTTTGTCAAAAATCATCTTGTCGATTTCGTCAACAAATGAATTCAAACTGTACGTAGTCTTGGCGTTATCATTATTATTATCTTCATGCCATACGAGTATTATGACAACTGTCCCATAACACGTTATTTTTTTCCTAGGGTAATCCTCCATTCCTTTCTTAATCATCATCATTATATATATATATATATATATATATATATATATATATATATATATATATATATATATATATATATATATATATATATATATATATATATATATAATATGGTATGATATTACTACAACTAATTATTAATATTATCATGATTATTATCATCATCATCATTATTATAATTATTATTACTTTAATCATCATGATTATTTTTCCGTCTGTTCCTTGCCTCCAGGATCCGCGGCAAATATCTACACACTACGTCAGCCGGACACAAAATTCTGACGTCACCTTTACCTGACGTCGACTTGCCTTCAGGAAATTTGACTTCACTCATACTGAACAAAGTTACGAAATGGGGACATCACACTGCCACGGTAAGTATTATGTTCGTATCCTTTTATTTGATTTGATATCCTGGTGTGTATCTATTCTCCTCTCTCTCTCTCTCTCAGGCATTTTATTCACATTTTGGTTTCGTCTCTTCTATATAATATTTGATATAAAATATCTACCATATAACCGGCATTTAATTCGAAAAAAATATATATCTTAACATTATTTCAAGATAAACATCTATTGACTGAAAAGGGTCATCAGTCAAATACTATGTATATGCGCTTACCTTATTTACTCCTACTTAACACGAAGACGGCAATTATTTATATGAATAATCTATTTTATATCACATACTATTAAAACAGGATGAGCAAGTAGATATTTTTTTTTATAACTGTTATCCACTGAGCGAATAGTAGAATTGGGGAAATTTAAGATGATTGAAATGCCTTTAGAATAACCACATGATGTTATAACAGGAGTGCAGCGTGACGGGGCGGAAGTATACTTACTCCCAGCTGGTGGACGGGGCATCCAGGTGGGCGGGCATGTTGACCAAGATGGGCATGAAGAAGGGGGATGTCTTGGCAGTCGCCATGCCCAACTGCCCTGAGTACCCCATCGTCCTCTTGGGTACGCTGATGGCTGGCGTCGTTGCTTCTACAATGAATTCAAATTATACGGCAGGTCAGTTCGTTAGTTTTTTTTTTATTTTTATTGCATGTACTTCTAAATGCTTTTTAATTCGTTAGTGAAAATGCCTTGCTTATGATCACAGATACAAACAACAATTATATTACACCGTTGCCACCATATGTTAACATGGCCACTCGCCTCACCCCAACCCTACAGGAGAAATACACCGCCAATTGTTAGACTGTGACGCCAAGATGCTAATATACGATCCTGTCTTGGAGAACAACGTGGACGACGCCCTTGCACAACTCCAACGACCCCTCCTCCTCGTCACCAACGGCCCTTCAGCTCGCTCCGGGGCCCTCAACATTCGCCATGTGTTTGACGACTCCAACATCGCCTTCGCTGATCCGGTTGAGGTAAGTGTCGATGTTTTTTAACTAGATTTGGAAGAAAAAAATCTAGGTGTATGTTCCCTGTTGGTGGGGAAGGTCGAATTAGATGGTGACGAGAGTAATGTTTGATGTGATAGTGATAGTTTTGATAAGTTAATAGTAATGAGGTAATGAAACTTTTCACGATAATGATAATAGTAAGGATAATAACTGCACAAACAATATATAGCATTGATGAATATGATAATGCTAATTAATAAATATCAATAATGTTATTAAACTGTCAATTAAAAACAGCTTTCCGGGGATGAACTCGCTCTGATGCCCTACTCCAGCGGAACCACGGGGCCACCGAAGGGCGTCGCCATCACCCACAACGGCTTCTCCTCCAACATGGTCATGTATTCGGTGCCGGCCAGCCTGCCTGTAAAGGAGGCAACAGGTAAATTTACTTGAAAGCTCATAATGCTACGATGATTATAGACAGGCAAGCAAAACAAAAGCAAAAGGCGGAAACTTTGTCACTGAACTGGTATCAAAAAGGTTCACCGTTCAGTTCAAGGAATATTAAGGTTTTAACGTCTAAGATAATGTGAATAGTGATTAAATGTAAATAAAGTTTGTTAATTGCGTATTAAGAATATTTAATGCGTCATAAATGCATATGAAATTTCATATTAATTTGAGATAACACTCATATATAAAACTGTAAAATTTTATTTGAAAATGCGGATCGTGGATATATATTGTCTATGCATATATATGCACACACACACATACACACACACACACACACACACACACACACACACACACACACACACACACACACACACACACGCACGCACGCACACACACACACACACGCACACACACACACGCACACACACACACGCACACACACACACACACACACACACACACACACACACACACACACACACACACACACACACACACACACACACACACACACACACACACACACAAAACTTATCACATGGTAAAGAAATGAGAATCACATTAAATTATGAAAATCCTATTGCAGCGACAAGCCAAGGGAGCTTCATGTGCCTCCTGCCATGCTACCACATCTACGGGATCCTGCCCATCTGTCTCGTAGGATTGACTGTGGGAATCAACGTAGTTACTGTACCCAAATTTGACCCAAATACCTTCGTCAACACCATCACATCACACAAGGTTAGTTAATGGCAGTGTATTCCCCTTTTTCTTCTGAAATGCGTTAATATATTTTTTTTTTCTCATGGTGCTCCTTCTCTTCGTCCTAAATATGCTTTTAAACTATTTTTTTCCTCTTGGCTCTTGGCGCTTCTTTTCCTCTGAAATATGCTATTAAACTATTATTTTCCCCTCTTGGCGTTTCTTTTCCTCTGAAATATGCTTTTAAACTATTTTTTTTCCTCTTGGCTCTTCTTTTCATCTGAAATATGCTATTATTTTTTTCCCTCTTGGCGCTTCTTTTCCTCTGAAATATGCTATTATTTTTTTTCCTCTTGGGTCTTCTTTTCCTCTGAAATATGCTTTTAAACTATTTTTTTCCTCTTGGCTCTTCTTTTCCTCTGAAATATGCTATTAAACTATATTTTCCTCTTGGCGCTTCATTCAGGAATCTCAAAACTATAGACATTAATGATAATTCTGGCTTACATTCCCTCTCTTTGCTGATTTTCCCCCTTACTTTTTTATGCAACGAATCGCGATTTATTTTAAGTGCCCCCCACCCTTTTATATGAGCAGATGAGCACCTTGCATCTGGTTCCTCCACTTCTCAACTTCTTGCTGCATTCTCCTGCCGTCACTGCCGAGAGCATGGCCCATCTGGAGCACATTGTGATCGGTGCTGCGCCTGTGTCTCCATCGGCGGCTCAGAGTTTCAAGGAGAAGATCAAGAAACAAATATTTTTCCAAGAAGGTAGGCTAATTCCTTTTTTAATTCACTAGCGAGAGCAGCTGTAGGCATTCATATAATCATTGCATAGCCTACACTGTATGAATTTATGCACCTTGTACAAAGAAGAATGTGGTTTTATGTAGAACCCCAGTAATGCATATTGACGTATATTTGTCTATATAGCTATCTTCTAATCACTTCTTCGACAGGGTATGGAATGACCGAAGTAATGCTAACTCACGTGGTCCCTGTGGGTACGGATGAAGTAGGGACATGCGGTATCCTGTTGCCAAATGTAAAGGCGAGAGTGGTGGACACTGTTACTGGGGAAGACCTAAACGCATGCGAGGACGGAGAAATATGGGTCAAGACGCCGTCGGTAAGTCATTGAGATAATTTTAAACCTGAAAGAATCCTATCTGTACGATATCAAAGCGATCTTCCTCCAGCTTCTTTACTTTGGAATGATACGATCCAAACGCTATGGTAATAGGCCTACATATAAAGGCATTTGCAACCATACATTAATCCTCTCCTTCTAATCCTCCCGTAGATGATGCAAGGTTATTTCCAAAATCCTACTGCCACCGCTGAGACGATCGATGCTGACGGCTGGCTTCACACAGGCGACGTCGGCCACTATGACGAAAGGGGTTTCTTCAAGATCGTTGACCGTACGAAGGAACTCATCAAAGTGAAGGGTCTGCAGGTAAGTTAGCGAAAGAAACGCATGAACACAATTACAGTAACGTGTGCATAAATACCGAATGGGAAAATGATCACAATAAGAAATGAAATTAAATCGTGACGGTTCGAACTCGTCAAGAATTCTTTATTAGACGGATACATAATCGAAAGAAATGGATGCCTTTCCTTAGGGATGAGTTCGTGTTAAAATGATGTAAGTAATGTAAGTAATAATGATTATAAAGGGTATAAACTTATTGGGGAAAATGGAATAAATGGACAGAATTTCATTTTTAGGGAATGAGTTTGTGATAATGTGATGTTTAAAGATAATGGTACTACAGGTTTGACTATAAAGTATATTCAGTCGCCGAGAAAATAATATATTTACAGATTCTAGTAAGTAGAACAGGACAGGACATTAAATAGGCCAGTGCCTTTTCTCTTTGCAAAGTTCTTAATTTAGTTGACCAATAACAGTAAAAATAATGAGATGTGCCCCTGATCCACATTTTAATGTATTAATTTTTGAATTGATATGGGATTAATTGCCAGTCCAAAAAAACTACCATTTATGCATGTACTCTTTTGCTATCACACACACACACGCACACACACACACACACACACACACACACACACACACACACACACACACACACACACACACACACACACACACACACACACACACACTCACACACACACACTCACACACTCACACTCACACACTCACCCCCCCCACACACACACACCCTCACCCCCCACGCACACACATCCTCACCCTCATCCTCCCTCTCCCACACACACACCAGAACGCTCACTAACCGTCGTCCACACTCCAGGTATCGCCATCTGAGCTGGAGGACCTACTTCGCCAGTGTCCTTCCGTGGTGGACGTAGGTGTGGTCGGTATACCAGACGACCGGCTGGGAGAAGCACCACGGGCCTACGTAGTCGCTTCCAAGATGATCTCGGAGGAGTTCGTCCACGAGTGAGTTTTCGCAAGTTTTTTTTTTCGCAAAGTGTTCCTACAGGTTAACGTTTTTGTGGCGTTGAAGTAGCTTTGAGTTAGGGATGTGTTCCTGTGTGTTTTTTTTTCCCTAAAGGCTGAATTTGAGAAGCATATATGTCCAGAGTTATCAGTCAGGGATATACGTATCCCATCGTATTTAAATATTGCCAAAATGAAACAAAATAATAACTTAACGACAAAACTAAACAACACAACAATGAGAGCTCATACTTCGTATTGTGTCACTTTTAAAAATACCCACAACAGATTCCTGGAGGACAAGGTGGCTCCTCACAAGAAGCTCGCTGGTGGAGTGTACTTCGTCAAGGAACTGCCGAAGACCGCAACGGGAAAGCTCCTTCGTCGAGAGCTGAAGAGAATGTCCATGGAAGGCAGTACATAGAGGTGGCTGACGATATGGCGTTTTAAGAGAGTTTGGGACGATTATTTTTAATGAAGCAGTTTCGAAATCGTGAAAGGATGATGTCGAAACTGGTGTTTTATTTTTCAATAAATCTGTTTTATGTATGTATATATTTTTTCGACCAATTTATCAATAAACTCAAAGTCTTCTGTAGTGTAAGAACGATAACGTAATATCAGTATACTCATCACTATCCCAAAAACTGGTTCACAACAAAATCAGTTAAAGTCACGAAAATTACTTTTTAATGGGAAAAAATCTGATAGATTTATACGCCAGAATGTGACATACGGTTTAAGTCGTCCCGAGATGCACAAGATGGTTCGTTTGAAGGGCATATAGAGTTTTCCTGCATTATCATTTTTATGTCGGTTTAACATTTCAGATCTTTACGGTTAACTAGGCCGTTATTCATTTAATTTTTTTTCTTTCACGAATAATTCACTGAATATGCATATTTGTCTCGCGTTTCTTGCTGTTTCGCTTTCTTTTCACGGAAACGCATTCGAAGACACAGTTCAGGGATTTTCTTCATGTTTAAGCTTACCTTTGGTTTGCTTGCAAGTATGAGTCATGTCGGCCTCATAGTTGACATTTATCACTCGGGGGTGTTGTTATTCACCATTAGTAATGTTATTAAGATGGAAAAAAATGCACAGATGAAATTTACTGAAACGAGAGATAACAG